GACTTTTTTTTTTTAAAATGTTTTTATTAAAGTGTTTTTAGTGTTACAAAACAAACAGGAAAAGGTATACATCTATTGTCTCCACTTTCAATTCAGATTGTTTTTCAGTTTGTTTATATTTAGTGAGAGACGCTTTTGTCATAGACATCTTGCGGTTGGCTTCCATCAGAGCGAGGGGGGCAATCCCTTGGCTGCAGGACTGTTTGAGTTCACAGTGGCTTCCAGGGAATTGCTGCAGCGACAGCAATTGCTAGGAATGCCTTGTGTGGTCTACGGGGATCTGTCCAGGGTCCTGAACTACTGCAAACTAGCCTGCCGTGCAGCTGTTGGCAGCACTCCTGCAGGTTCCCAGCCTGAAAGCCAACCGTGGTAGATTTGGGGGTTTAGCCTTCCAAAGATCCATTTTGGACCAAACTCAAGACTTATCAGAGTCTGCTTTTGGTTTAAAAGTGTTTCAAGACTGGGAATTTCTAGGAAGGTTGCCAAACTGAGTGCAGACATTGAACCATAATGAATGTCCTACTTCAGAGAAGGGCTTGAACAATCTACAGGTAGGGTTGCCAACCCTTGACATGAAAAATTATAGCACCTGGGAGGTACCAAGGTTGTTGATGGAGCCAGGGGAAAAAGACTATGATTTCTGGCAGAACCAAGACTCTGGTGCAAAATCTGCCTAATTACCAGAGGTATATCTTTGGGGCTCCAGCTCCCATCAGCCTTGGTCATTGGGTCCATGCTGGCTGGGGCTGGTGGAAGTTGTAGTTCAAAGTACCTGAAGGACACCAGGTTGGGAAAGGATGAAGCCAACGATTCAGTTATTGGTAGGAAAGAGATATCAAAGACAGAAGAAAATAACAACTTGAATTTCAGATTCAAGTGTGCTATAAACATTTATGAAGTCTTGTATTTGGTTCAAGCTGCAAGGGCTGATAGAACTTAAATATATATCATGTGGTCAATACTGAAGCTAGCATTCCAATCTAATATGGACAGCGGTGTGCATGTTTTATTTTAAAAAATAAACCAAGAGATACAAAAAGCTTTGGTGGTAGACTGCAAAATAATTTCTGTTGGTGGAAAATCATGCAAAATGTAACAGTAATCCATTAACTTCATTTTTCTATAAGTATGCCTGTACCCCTGTGTACAAAAATATTTTTTTGCGTTTGTATTCAAATAACTTTCACTTGGAGTAGACTCATTGAAATTAATGGCCATGGCTAACTTAGGTCTGTTCATTTCCATGGGTCTACTCTGAGGAAAAGTTGCATGAATACATCCCATGATATCCACAAATATAATATTTTTATCTGTGCAATAAATGACCTTACTCTTATGCTGTACATGGTCTGATATATTGAATAAAGCATGTATACCATTGGTCTCTGGACAGAGTATTATCTTTTTATTTTATTTAAGACATTTTTATACCACTTAATTATTCAAATTTCTAAGTTCAATGGAGGCTAGTTCATTAGGGCAAATGAGGCTGTGCCACATCAACCTCAGTCTGTCTCCTGCCAGCCCCTGACCTGCCAACCTTCTAATTTCAATCAATCCAAGGAACTGCCCTGTGTGTCTGCTTCCTCCTCCTCCTTCATCTCAATGTTGCCCCTTATAGAACTCATCTGGGAGGAGGATGGGAACAAATTTAGAACAGGTTGGCTCCATCCATCATTTGCTCTGGCTCCACTCACTATTTGGGCTCCCTACTTTCTGCCCCACACATCCCAACAGACACCAGCCACCCCTGCCTGAGTGGTGTACATAAAAGCAATCCACTATAAATGGGCCAATAAAACAACAGAAATGTATCATAAAATCCTATTTCATGCAGCAGAGTCCGCAAGAGCCCAAGTTTACCATTGAAGCATGTTTGCATCATATATAGTCACAAATCTATTTAAGTATTCTTAGGCAAGACACTGCCTTTTACACACTTCCAAATAAGTGCTACTCAACCTCTGCTGAGAAACTATTGTCCTTCCTATTCTTCACACAATGATGAGTCACTTCTATGTCTATTTTAGAATGACAAATGGAATACTTCTGATTGACTCTCAAGCCCATGGTATCATCTGTCTCTTAATAGCAAACAATCCTGTTTTGCATGAAGTATGTACCAAGGACTACTGGACTGACTTCAGTCCTGCATACCTGATCAACTGCTACAATAGATACCAAACACAAGAAATGAACTTTGATTCCAGCATGCATTGGTGATATTCTAACACCTTGTAACTTCAAAAATCCCTTACTGATTTTTTAAATGTCTAAAGATAAGTCATCACACAGTGAATCTAGAATGATTTGTAATATATCTTTTATTTTCCTGCAGTTTTGCCCTGCTTTTTCTGGATAAACTTTCCCCTACATTCCAGAATCTCGCCTTGGGTATAATGAAGTTCTGGCTTCAACCTTATTGACTCTGCTCCTTAAATAATATTTTTTCAGAGCGCTGAATGGTTAAGCTAGGAAGTACTGTAATCATCACTTGTTTGAAATAAGGAATGTATTTGCCATTGTGGCAATTTCACCTCCTGTTTTGCCTTATTAATCTGGTAACTTTAATTACTGGGATACAAATATCCCAGGAAAGTGATCAGATAATAGTTGTACTCTGAGTGAAGCACCAATGTGAAATTTAATTAGTCTAGTCCAGTTCCTTCATGATGAAAGTCATGCCCAAGAGCCTCAGATATGTTGACTCACATAGATCATACCATCCATCTCTATTATCTATACAGCACCTTTAGATTTTTATCCATCTTTTGGACTGGCAGCAGAAATCCACCAGAAGCAGGGAGAAGAATGGCATATCCTAGCCATGGTTCCCCCAACCTGGTTCCCCCAACGTGTTTTGGATTCCCACCATTCTTTACCCTAACCTCTGACCTTGGCCTTGGACAATTTCTCCTTACTTGGAATCTCCTAGTCTCTAGGCTCATCTAGACTTCCTTTTGTGCAGCGCTTTCCAGATACAGATCCATGCTTTCAAACTGTGTGTCCGAATGGGTTTTCTTTGTCCCCAGTGCTTTCTCCATGGAAAACCTGGTTGCTGTTTCCTCTGATTCAGTGGTAAAACACTGGTTTTCTGAAGAATGGCAGATGAAGATGATGGACTATATGGAACTTGTTGAACTGACTGGGAGACTCTGAGACCAGAGAGAAGAGACGGTGGAAGAAGACTGGAAGAAGTTTAAAGAATATTTGAAAAAATATGTTAATATTTAAATCTTAGAATAGCTTTGGAAGTGGATATAGGCTGTAGGGTTAGAAGTAGAAGATAGTGTATTTTAAAATAGTATTATCTGTAAGTAATAAAATGTGAAGATTTTTATGGTTAAAGTAAGTGTGATAAAAAAATGGTTAGAAATTATTATATCTGTAACTGCTAAAGATGAGGTAAAATGAAAATCAGATAGGGGGGATTTGGGGAAGCCCACCTAACAATGTTTAGAAAAAATAAGGACAAGACAAGAATTTGTTTGTATTGTTTGTTTTTCTGTTTGTGTTGTTTATTTGTCTTATAAAATGAATATTTTTTTTGGAAAAACAAACAAACACAGGTTTTCCTGGGGAATGCGCTGTGGTGGTGGTGGTGGTGGTGGTGGTGATGGAGAAACCAACTGGAAACACGGAACAGAGGTAAGTTTGGATGTGTTAATGCAAAGGAAAACAGAAGGAAGCACTTTAAAAAATAAATTGATGCAGCATAAAACGTCAAGCTTCATTTAAGTCAACGTTATTCTTTCTACTGTACCATCAGTGCACACAGAACTTGATATTGTTATTTGTAACATAGGACATCAGCCAATGAAATAGGTGTGCACACAAGGATTAGTGTTAGGAAAACAAGACTTCCTCCCCTCTCCTCCCACTATGTGCCCCAACACTGTTCCCACATCTGCTCCAGAGGGTTGGGGGGAACCCCCAGAATGGATTTAGGGGGCATACAGGGAAAGCTGAGGAGAATATTCCATTGTGCAAGGAGAAATCCTTGTGATGACAGTACTGTAGCCTTAGTGTCATGTTGAATACAACCCATAATAAGCAAAAGGTAAGTCCCAACTTCAAGAAATCTACAGCCTAAACTAGCCTTTGCCAACCTGATGCCCTCCAGACGGTGTTGGACTCCAACAAACGTAAAGTGAAGCATGTCAGGGCAAAAATGTTTAATTCCTTATATATACTCAAAGGGCCTGAACTGACAGTGATGGACCAGGAATGAGAGTGAAACTAAAATTGCTAATACCATAATCTATGGTGGGACTGCATTTGGGATATTGTCTACAGCTCTGGTGACCTCGCCTCGAAAAGGATATTGCAGAGTTGGAAAAGGATCAGAAAAGCACAGCCAACATGATCAAATAGGGTATCATGGCTCCCCCATGGCAAAAGCTTGCAGTGCTTGTAATTATGCATGGCATGGAGAAAGCAGATAGAGAAAAGTTTTTCTCCTCTCCCATGACATTAGAACTTCTGGACATCATCCCTGACCACTGGTTATGCTGCCACTGGCTGATGGGAGCTGAGAGTCCAAAACTACCAAATGAGGGCACCAACTTGGTGAATTCAGTCCATCCTAAACTGAAACAAAGTACAATTTTGGTATGGCAAGGGGCTCGTCATCCCCCTGAGTTTGTGGCATAAACCAGATTTAAAATGTAAAGCTTTTTTTTTAAAAAAAGAAATAGTTATGAATAACTAAAATACCCAAGACAGTAAGGAATAAGAAAATGTGGTACAGACAAAGAAAATATCAAGGCTTCCTCTCTGTGGTGCTGCTCAGTTCTTCTACCTGGACGAATCTTTGATGGCATATAATCATTCTCCTGACCCACTCTCCAGCAAAGAGATTATGATATACAGGATTGCATCACAGTATTGAAGCACTGCTTCTTGCTGAGAAGGTTTGATGTGAAGAAGAATTCTGACCCAGCAGTTGTTCCGGCTGCCATGGAAGCAGACAATACAACCCTGCCCCTTTCACTGGGCGAGTGCTGAGATCACACATTTTGCTTCTTTAGAAGAACCAAGCCCATATGACTCAGGCTGAATTCATCCCTAAGCGCATTTCTCTGGGAGTGAGTCCTACTAAATTCAACATTACTAGAGTTTCCTGAATAGACATACCTAGGATTAGGCTGTTTGGGCTTTTGCGGACTTTGCTCGCTTTTTAGACTATTTGCTACTTGCTCGTTCATTTGCACTGTTCGTTCATCTTATTCTCTGAATTGCCTTCACTTTCCCATAGTGACATCACGGCATAACAACATCTGATTGGCTACGTAGTTTTTGCAAAATCAAATCATTCAGTGCAAGACCCCAGATTCAGTGGGATCACTCTTGCAACTAATCCAGGAAGGAGAAGGAAGGAAAGTAGAAGCCAAGTGAAACAAGGGTGAATGTTGAAGATTGGAAAAAAAATGAATCTCAGTATTCATGGGACTTACTTCTGAGTAGACAGGTTTATGAATGTGCTGTAAAACTGCTACAGTAAACCTCAACATTGAAACCAAAGAATATTAATCAGAGCTCTGCTATTTATTGTTCCCACCTGGCTTCTCCCATCTCCACATCTTTACAAAGATCTGTCTTGGAGTTCATGGTCCATCATCTATCTTTCAGTTTTCTACAGTGGGAGAGCCTTTCCAGTCTTACTACCTTTTAGTAAATATAAATGGAGAGGTAGAGTTTAAATGAAGCCCTGTTAATGAACTCTTAACAACCCACTCACATCAGCATGCACTCTCTCTGTTTTCCTTTTAAAGCTGGGAATCTGTATAGATGTCGCTGAAACTTTCTCATGACGAGAGGAAATTATCTCAATTTTTACTTGTGATGATTTTGTGGGTAGCTGAGATATACGAGGGACAGTCAACGTGGAGTCCTCCAGAAGTTGTTGCTGAATTTTGGCTCCCACAATCTCTGGTTGAGCTGACTGGAATTTTAGTCCTGCAGTTTCTGAAGGCCAACATCTTGGCAAACCTCCTGAGCTACAGGAGAACGATGTGATTCACACAGGTGGTTGTGATGTTGTGATGTATATGTAAATGATATTGTGCAAATATCAGCATAATTACAGTAAACTAGTATGCGACAGCATGTATTATGTTAAATGTGTAGGTAAGTATATCAGGTAAATTAAAATAAGTGTTAGGCTGAGGTGATAGCGTTGAGAGGGAGTAGTAGAGAGGGTTTGGAAGATTGTGGCAGGGTTAGTGAGATCATAGAATCATATCGTTGGAAGGTACCACAAGAATCATATCTAGTTCTGTGGTTCCTGATTAGCTAGCACTGCAGACCCCCTGTTTTTCAAAAGCCAAGCCATGGACCCCTTACTTTTGAAAATGTTGTTATCTCTATTGTAGTTTTTTGTTATGTGAATGGTGTCACAGTCCCCTTGGGTGGGTTATGTGGACCCCGCTGGGGTCTGAGGACCATCAATTGGGGACCACTAATCGAGTCCAATCCCCTGCAATGCAGGAATCTTTCAACCAACATGTGGCTCAAACTCGTGACCCTGAGATTAAGAGTCTCATGCTCAACCAACTGAACTATCCCATCAATATGGAAGATTGTGGGGCTCTCAGGCCCACCACCAGTGGTAAGGTGGATGTTGACTCTGAGTCAGGCACCGTTCGTGAGGAACTCACTGATGTCACTCTTGATAATTAGGAGGTCCATTTCTACCGAAGGAAGTCCAAGATGAACCTGTCCATCTGGAGTGGCGAGTCATGGCTGCACTCAGTATGAGGCCAACCAACACCTCCATGTTCAGGATGCTTCCACCTGCAAACACCCTTAGCTTCATGCCTTCCTTGTGCGGTGGCCTGAGCACTGAAAGCTCATCCAGGCCAACAGGATAGCCTGGATAGTAGCCTGGTGGTGGTAGCCTCTCCCTCCTGCCTGGTGGGCTTGGCTGGCTGCCCCAGCTGGGGAGGCTGGGCTAACTGCTGGTGGATGGGCCGTGGCATGGCCAGAGCATCCTGAATATGAAGCCACTGCTGGGTCTCCTGGCTGGCCTCTACACCGAGTGCAGCCACGGCTCATTGCTCATCTCGGACTTCTTCGAGTGGAAATGGACCTCCTGATTATGAAGAGTGATGTGGGTGAGTGTTATAAATGGAAATGTGTTGCTTAAAACAATGTATTAGAAGAGCATCACGCAACCCAGATGTGATAACTCCAGGTTGTTCTTGTGCTGGGACAGCACCAAAGGCAAAGAAACCCAAGTATCTATATACAAAACTGCCTTTTAAGCCAAGATGACAAAAATAAAGAAAGAGCCGGTTGCATATCTAGACGCAGGATGCTCTTTCAGATTTTCAGGAGACAGAGAAGCCTGTCCCCTCCTCCAGCAAGGTTTTAAAAGCCCAGCCTTTGCATACACTCAAGATGAAATGGCTCCAAAAGGAAAAAAATAAAGTGTATTTTTAGGGAGTGTATTGCATTTACTTATGAGTGTATTGCCTCATAAAACTACAGTGGTACAACTGTATAGCTATTTGCACTGGATGTCAGACAGCCTGTTTTCTGCAGGAAAGGGGACCTGTGCCTTTGGCATGCATGCGGAGTATATCAGTCCACTTTATTACTTTAAGAACAGATTGCAATTGTCTCCTTCTTGCTGCCGTGATGCAACCCTGATGTATTGCTGTTGTGGTTTGGTTTTTTTGTTTTTTGTTTTAAAAATTGTTTTATCATGTAGTATATATTTCCACGTTGTGTCCTGCTCTAGGATTGAGTTTAATGATGAATAGAAGATGCCTAAATAAATGAAAATGTAGAACCAGTCAGCTGAACAGAAAAAGAGGTACCTTTGACTAGTTAAAGCAGCAGTAGCCAACAAGGTGCTCTCTAGTCATTGTTGGACTACAACTCCCAGCATTCATAGCTACTGGCTATGTTGGCTGGGGCTTGGAATCTGTGTTGGCTGCTCCTGAAACCAGTGTTTGAAGTTCTGGGGCTACGAAGCCTGCTTAGCTTTCTGTGGCGCTGCTTTGCCCCGGAATACCTTCTGTTATGATGTTATTGCTTTGTTTGGGGGAAACGCATTTTCTTTCAACCCCACTTTCCCATTTGCAAAAGGGACAGATCAGTGATCATATCTTATGGTATGTGATTGCAGAAAAATGTACAGCTCTGAAAATTTGGGCCCTTCTTGAGCTAATGCCCAACAGAGTCTTGGGGGGGGGGAGTTGCATGACAAAATCATTGAGCTGTGGCAGAAGCAAGAATTAACTTACATTGAATTCACAATTTGGTGGCTTTTCTGGCTGAATAATGAGGACTGGAGCATAATTCTGTTGACAATATTTCCCTTCGCTTGAAAAGACCTGGCCAGCCCATCTCTTCCCATTCCTTCAACCTCTTCACTCAAGGAAGCTCCAAATATTGCCAGACCACTGACTCCCATCATCCCTGAGCATTGGTCATGCTGGCTGGGGCTGGTGGGAGTTGGAATCCAACAACATAGCAGGTTGCAGGTTATCCAACCCTGTTCTGTATGGTATGGAAATACTGAAAGGAAGTGTAGCATCTTCCGCAGTTAGGCATGCCTAGAGGCAATGTCCTAGACGTGGGATTTGATTCAGTGTTGTTTGTTCCCTGACTGGTGGAATTTGATAACTAGAAGGCAACATGCACAATGACGGGTGGATAATGCAATCCTTCCCCAAAATGGTGCCACCCAGATGTTGTTGGACTACAGCTCCCATCATCCTCAACCATTGGCCATGCTGGTTGGAGCTGAAGGGCCACAGGTTGCCTTAAATCAACGGAGGACACAGAGGAGGACCCTTCGCTCAAAGCAGTAGCAAAGCTCTTCACAGGAAGGAAAGTAAATACTTTTGGACTACACAGACTCTTCCCATCACCATGTATTTGTAGACCACTAATGAACCATAACGAACCTCCAGGCTAGTCCCTGATGGCCATGAGGCCAAGCAGTAATGAATGAGAAATGAAAGAAAGCTACCAGTGTCAAGGGTGTGTTCAGAAGCAGTGGCTTCGTGAATACTAATCCTGCCTGCATTTCCCCTAGCTAAGATCCAGCTAAAGGAACCCATTCAGTTTTCCTCTTTTCCCCGTTTGTGTTCGTCTACCTTTTCATCAGAATCCACAGAGCTTTGCAACTTTCTGACACTTTTTAATAACTTTGTGGCCGCCCTTTTGACACCAATGAGTTTGAAAGCTGTATTCTGTTGGTTCTACAGATGGCAATGGCTCACTGGAAACTGTAGGAAAGATGCTTGATAAACCCCAGATCTTTAAACAGAAATGGAGAACCTGTTGGACTCCAAATCCCATCAGCCCCAGCCAGCACTGCGAATGGCCAGGAATGATAGGTACCATAGTCCAACAATAGTTGGAGAGCCACAGGTTCTCCATCCCTGACTCAGAAAACATTTGGATGGTAATATAAACCTTGTCAAAACACAGGGAGGATGTAACATAGCTCCAAATCCCACTGTATTGCATACAATCCAAATCCTATGCATATTTACTTTGAAGAAAGTCCCATGGACTTCATTGAAGCTTATTTCCAAGTGTGGACAAGATCATTCACACTTAATTGTGCGCTGTACAAAAACAAGTCGTAATTGGTTCAATAAGAAATCTATGGCTTTTCCTTTCTTTCTTTCTTTCTTAGTGCCTTGCAACGACATACAGAAACGAAACCTCCCAAGCAACACTCAAAACACAAGCTCGGAAACTTGCACATTTTCCAAATGCCATCTCCCCTTTGATTGAAAGCAGGGGGTTAATGCTGAGAAGAAACTTCTCCAGGCAGACAACATTTTGAACACAGAAGAAATGACTCAAAACAAAACCCCAGCTAGAAAATAAACGTAAAACAAAAAAACCAAACACCAATATTACACCATTTACACTGAAACAAACAACAGGCAATTGGATGCTTTGATGCAAAGTTGATTCCCACCCAGCCCCTCAACTGACAGCTCTCTCTTCCTCTTCTTTCCCTGTGAATTATTTGATCTGGCTTGTTCTCACTGAGCAGAGGAAGCATGCTCTGGCAATAGACCCAAGTGGTGGCTACTGCGTTTGTTTAATCGACTGTATCGCCTCCTATTTTGTCTGGCAATGGAAACATGGCATTGTGCAGACAGAGGCTCCTTCTGAAATAGACATCTTTGCAAAAGGCTCTCAACAACCACCCACCACCCCAGTTTCCTGCAGACCCCTGAGATTTTCAAAACCAGGCAACCGAATCTACTTCCAGATAGCCAAAGCACCCCAAATAAAGAAATGAATGGTCTTCAATCAATATAAGACCCAGCAGATCGCCTGCCTTATAACGAGCAGTGCAGGAGGGCGGGTGGGAAGGGAGGGGAGGGGAAGAAGAAAGAAAGAAAGAAAGAAGAAAAGAAAGAAAGAAAGAAGAAGAAGGGGAGACCCCCAAACTGGTTGACTTACCTTATTTTCTCCATCTCTGCCGCAGAGGCCTACAAGAAATCAAACAAACAAGGTGCAAGTGAATGGAAAGGGAGCAGCAGCGTTCACTCGGCAGATTTATGCATAGTTCAGGCTATCCAAAAAGGCTGGCTGGCAGGCTTGGCTGGCTGCTGCCGCCGGCTCCCGTCTACCGAGCCCCGGCCAGACCCGGACCCCAGATCTGCATGGGAGCAGCAGGGGTGCACGTTGACTGGTGAACTCCCGAAGAACGCAGCAGCAGCGGCGGAGGCAGCAGCAGCAGCAGCAGCGAACACGCGGCAGAAAGGCTGGCGAGCTCCCCAGGAGACATGGGCAACACGGAATGACTCAGTTTGTAGCGCCCAGGCGAAGAAGGCAGAGGAGGAGGAGGAAGGTGGAAGGAGAACCAGTAACAGGTTACTGTGCCGAGCGGGTTCCGCAGGAGAGAAAGTTGAAATCGAGGGGTGGCCCCGTCCAACAGGAGCCGAGGGAGGGAGGCAGGCAGGCAGGCGCGCACCAACGTGGCACATAGACGCTGCCACGATCTCCAGTTTCTCTCCTCCCTCGCCCTCCCCCCAAAAAAACCCCACACCACCTTGGAGTTTTTAATTCATCACGTTTCCCCGAGATCTCGGCAGATGGAGCGCGCGCACGCAGCTCGAGCGAGAGTTTCAGGGATCGCGTTAGGGTTTTTGTGTGTGTGTGTCCCCCACCCACCCTGTAATTCATGGTCTTAATTCATCTCTCTCGCATTCCGCCTTGCCCTTTAAGATCCACGCCGGGGTCCCTTTGATCCGCACCGGCAAGAGGGTGGGGGGAAAGTTTCAGGCGGACTCCTTTTTTTTAACCCCTGTTCCGCCAGACCTGGCCAAGGAAGGCACCCCTCTCCAACAGCGCTTGACTCTTTGGGAGCCTGCTTAACCCTTTGCTTCCTGAGATCTGCCCAGATGAAGCCACCGGGATGGTGCGGGGGGAGGACGGATTCTGTTGCAGCTTTTACCATACTAGTGTGTCTGTCCTTCCTTCCTTCCTTCCTTCCTTCCTTCCTTCCTTCCTTCCTTCCTATCTATCTATCATCTATCCCTGCATCGTTTCATTTCTTTTGAATTCTTTCTCCTTTCAATGTATGG